TGGGAGAATTATGAGGGTTCATCAAGCAGAACTTTGCATTTACCAGTTGAAATGGAGCACAGTTTGTTTATATTACTCTCCTCTGTAGAACTTTGCATGTTCAAAGAAACAAATTCTTTAGCAACAGGAACTTTAACTCAGCCAACATTTTTCTTCCCCCTCATTTGCAAATGCTGGCTGGCTCCACTTAAAAAAACAAAAAATGGTGGGGGGAAATCACTTTATTTGCACACTGCTATTCAGAAATTTCTCTGGTATTATTTTCAAAGTGATCTGATTTTTCCTCAAAAAACCACATAATTCATGGAGATAAATTACTTATGTAAAAAGAAAATTTGCACCCCTTTGCCAAATCTGTGTCAGGCTTACAGAGTGCTGTACTTTTCAGTACTGTATCTTCATAGCCCAGGATAAAATGCACAAAACCCTATTCAGCTTAATGTCCGTAATTAAATTAAAAACCTTTCAGACTCCACACTTTACTACCTGATCAGCATTTAAAAAACATGTATTTCTTATGGCTCCATTACACAAGCAGACTGGCTCCTTTGCAGGTATCAATAATCCAGAGAGGAGGAAATTGAGACTCTCATTTCAGGCATGGATCTGCCAGGCTTTGCTCCTCATGCACTCTCCTTTTTTTGAAAAACTGGAGTTTTACAATGAAGGAGCAGCAGCTGGAATAACAATCATCAGTGATTCCCATACATTTGTGCTAATTCTTACCAGCTGCTGCTCTGGACCCACATTCCTGCACGTCCATCCAGTATATCTATTCACTATCCAGCACAAAAGTTTGTGACTCTTCTTGGCTGACACTGAGCTATTCTTTAACTACTATTATTGGCCAGCACATTATTTCAAGTAAGATCTGATATCTTGTCCAAAACAGGGTGGAGAAAGGGAGGAGCCTGGCCACTAATGAAGATAAAGAACTGAAAACATGTTGCACTGATCAAGCTCACCCTGTTTTAGCACTTATTGGGAGACTCCATGTAGCCAAAAGGACTGAAATCAGTGTCTCCAACTCACTCAAAAGCCTGAACAAGCAGCTCTTTTAATAAAGGACTTTGTTCTCTGACAACAAAAGCCTAATCCAGGCAAACCAGGTAGTGCCACAAACAAAAGGGAACATTAAACACTGTTCAAGGAACAGGGTGGCCCTGCTTGATGCTTTATTCCACTCCATGCACAGGGGAAAAAGAACGGAAAGAACAACAGTGAAAGGAATGAGTTTTCAGTCACTCTCCCACATATGGGAACTCCACACCCTGTCCTCAACCTTTTGCCAACAATTTTATTACTGGGAGTGTCAATAGGAATCCACTGGTTTACTGTGGGCAACTGAATCTGTGCACCCACATGCAGAAGGGCCACAGCAGGAGACAGGAAAGGAGAGACACATTTTTCCTGTTTAATAACCAGAAACATTTACCTTGTCATGGACTGGACAGAGGTGGCCAAGCAGATTAAACCTCTGTATTCTCAACAGCACTCAATAAGGGTTCCTTGCAAAGCAAAATTTCTACACTGGGCAGAAGAAGTGCACTCAAGGCTTGCAAAAATTAGATTAGTTCTCCAAAACATTTAATGCTGTAAAACTGCTAAAAATGCATCCTCATCATAGAAGTTTGGAGGTAAGTTTAGAAACAGAAGGATGTGACAAAAGCTTTTTAAGCTCTTGCACACAATATCGAACAGAAAGACTTCCACTGACATAGGTCACTATTGAAATGCTAAAGTAATACTGTATTTTTAATTTCTAAAATAGAAAACACAGCACAAGCAAGTAGAAGAAATGATATCACAGAAGGAACATCTACGCGTTCACTGTCGAATCCGAACTGGACTATCGCAATACAATTCCTTCAGGCTACACTTTGGGAGCACGTGGATTCACCTGTAGCACAGCAAGCTCCCAATCTCTGAGGTCAAGCCAATGCTTCATATTCCTCACTGGCCTTCAGTCTGCCTCCAAGGTACTGGTAATAACAAAGAGAGCACTGAAAACTGCAGGACGGATACGACAGCGAGACTGTGTCATCACCTGCTTTCCCACAAGGCAACTGCGCTCTACTGGAATGTTCTCTGGGCTGTTTGACAGAACATGCTTAACAGAGAACGCTCCATTATGAAATTCCTTTGCCCTTGGAATTCCCTAGAGCTTAAATTTGCATTGCAAGCTGTATTGTCTTTTCCTGACTATCTCGATGTCAGGGGCAGGTGAAGGAGACAAAAGAAAAGCTGAGCAAAAACCAGAGACTGAAACATGTTGATGGATTCCATTTGTCAGTCCGAATCCAGATGTTAAAAGAAAGGATGCAGCATATTTTAAAATCAGCTTTAACCAAATCAACATGCCCCACCAATGAATTATCATATACCTGTAAAAGATTCATATCATCTGGATTTTCAGAGCCAGGAGCATTTTCTTTTAATATTGATGACATGACTCTCACGTTCATTTTTGCCATATCCAGTTCACTGTACAGTTTCCCAATCTGTTGAATTCAATAGGAGAATATTGTGTAAGTGAGCAGACCAAGAAGAATAATTCTTACCCCTAATACATACTTTCTTCCCCATTAGGTATAATATGAGCCTAATTAGCATTATTTTACTCCAGTGACATGCCATGAAAATGAATGGAATTAGCTCAGCTTTTATATGTGTAATCAAACTAAGATCCAAGCCTGATAGCACTACTTGTTTTCCTTGCAGCTAATCCCTCTCACTAATGTCACTCTTACTCCTTTTAGTTAGCTACAGGGAGGCAGGAATGGAAGTGAACTGTCCTTTCCTTCCTGCTTTTCAGAACAATCTTTTCACACAAGCCTTATGTAAAAGTAAGTTTGGTTTTCTCACTCACCTTTGAAGCAGTTTTTATCAATCTGCATAGCAGCATTGTAAGATGTGACTAGATAGTCACACACTTGAGTAAATGATTCCAGGAACCCAACCCCATGAATTTAGAGCTGTATCCCTTGATCTGATGGTCCCTTCAGCAGCCTGAGCACCCAGGCTGCTGGAGTCACACATTAACAGCACGTTTCAGGTGGACCTGCCCTGCTCTAAACCTGTAGTACTGCACCTGCTCTGGAGTCAACAACAGTGTTGGGCCCGTGGGAAGAGGCAGGAAGGAACGTTTGGCAGGACAAGCAGAGGAGGGTGATGACTTTGCAGAAGACCGAGGTGTCTGTGGAAAGACAAAAGAGCAGAGTTTGGGGTGAACAAAAGGACTGTTGCAGACTTCCTGCTGAGAGAGGATCATCCCTGTCAGACCAGGCAACTGGGCAGCAGCTTTCTCATAATCAATGCTCCCAGGGAATTTGTTGAGCAAGGTCTGTTTACAAAAATAAATCTAATGGCTGTTCTGTCATGAAATGAGGCTTGGAATTCAGGTATCTTTGGAAAGGGCTTGCAAGTAAATTCCATCACAGGATAAAGTGGAAATGGCTAAAGAACAGGCTAGCAAGGAACTCGTGAGCCATCCAACAGCCAAGAGTCCCTCCCAAGGTGCCACTGCAGTTTTACAGTGAAGGACAGTTCAGAATGAGATCACACTTGGGAGCAGTAGCAAGGCTGGGGGGTTGAGTCTGGGGCTCTGCAGAAGGTAAACAACAAAAGCCTTCTGGATTGAAAAGCTGGAACACTCTGCCTGAAGAAAGCTTCACCTGCATTGTATTTGATCTGACCGCTAAAAAAAACCAACAAAATCCAAACCCAGCCAGCAAAGGAATACACACTACAGGTCCTTCACTTCCTAGAGATTGAGGTAAAAACTCTGTTCAGTTCTGCTGTTGCTGAGATCAACAGAAGGTTTGCCAGATTTTAACTGTCAAATACATGTGGCTGACAAAATAATCTCTGCTGTACTTGGCGAGGAAAATAAATTATTGTCTATTGAGAGCATTCTTCACACAGCTTGGTCAAACAACCTTCAAATACATAAGCTTTTGTGCACTCCACTATTCAACCATCAAATTGAACTCAGGATAAATCTGAGTTATTCCTGTCTGCACTGATTATAGGCATCTAGGTCTATATTGCAAGGTTTCACCCTGTGGTGGATAGTTTTCACACTGCCCAAAACTCTTATGAAAACTCTTATAATAGAATAAAAAAAACAGGAAAAAAGGGCTTTAAAACATGTACTGTATTTTCAGCTGATGTCCAATGCTCAAGCCATACTTATATTTACTGTTTTAGATGCAACACAGTGCTACCTATCAGACAGGCTTAAATAACAATTATTGTGTATGGACTGTGAGATATAAAGATAATAATCCTTTTTATAGTTCTACATCTCTTGATTTAAGGATAGATGATGCTCATGTTCTGAACAGTATGTGTTTTTGTGAAAACCTTACTCATTTTTGTTGAGGCTTTCAGAAGCTGACAAGTTTGGAGCACTCAGCACTCTTTTTTTTTAAAGTAAATAGCATGGCCAAATCTTCAAAAGTCTCAAGACAGAGATGCTTGATTTTTGAGAATATATCCACTAATCTGTGGTTGGAAATAAAATAAACTATTATATAGGTCAGGTTTCTTTGTTGTTATCTTAGCTGTTATAATTGAAACCGATTCCTGCTCACGTGCTTAAGTAGGTTTGTCATTTCTGCCCTGAAGCATTTTAATAAAAAAAAATCCCAAACCAAACACACCTTCTTTGTCTGCAGAGCTCAAACAATTAACATAGCCTGCTCTTGAAGTATCCCTGTATATCCTCACCTTAGGTCCACCACTGCTGGTGTGAGGGGATGGAAACTCCACTCCTTTCTTCAGCAATTCCAGGTAAACTTCTTTTACTTCGCTCACATCCACCATTCCTTGAAAACCTCGGGCCCATGTCTAGTGTTGAAATGTCAGGAATAAAATAGTGACAGAAATGGTCAGTCAGTGGGTCACACAAATGCTTTTAAAACATGAGGTCCTAAAAGCAGGTCATTCCCTACATCCACCCTGGATGGCTCCGTTCAAAGCAGGAGGAACCACAAAAGCTCCAGTTACCTCTCATCCTGCTGGCTGAGTGCAGCCACAGCCACAGCATGTGCACAGACTGGGAAGAGAATAGAAAAGGTGGAGGTTTTCCAGCTGTCTGCCTTTGTCTTCCAGTCTGTGCTACTCCTGTGTGAAGCAGCAGCAGCAAGAACAGGGTCTGCTCTAGGAAGAGGTTCCCAGGACACGTTATGGTACAGAAATAGGCTGCATGAAATGTTTCCCATATAGCAGAGACACCATGAGCACTTACAGTTTGCTCTATAGACTCACCATGATATAGGTCAAGATTTTCTCCTGCATGTCAATTGGCAGATTGTATCTTGGGTTCAGTAATTTCACCAGCTTGTCTTTGCAGAAATCTTTCTTCACAACCAAAGACTGGAATCTTGGGCCACAGTTCTCCATGCACATGTCAAGCAGCTGCACACACAAAAATCCTTCTGTTACACAGAGACCAGGGAAAAAACTCACAACTTGACTCCTTTTGTTTCCTTTTGTTTAATTTGTTTTAAGGAGTTATGAGGAATAGCAGGAATGAACACATTATTGCAGCTCACTGTGTGCTCTGTTATACCTGTGCAGCACAAAGGAGATGTGTCAGCCACAGTTAAACTATTTTTAAAAGAGAAGTGTGCTCACACTTGTTTCCATGTCATAGCAGTAACTGAACATACAGTACCTTAACAGCACGAAATCTATCCAAAGCCTAAAAAGATTACTTGTACAGACTTAGCAATAGAATTAATTCACTGCCTAGCACATAGGTCTGACAGATTCTGAAGAGCTCTGCAAGAGAAGAAAATCACATCACTAAATGCCTCTCTTCTAATCTGCCCTGTAAGTGAGAGACTAATGATAAAATAGAAGAGAACAAAATCAACAGCTCAGAGCACAGTTTCTTCATGCTTTTCAAAGGTCACAGTGATTTGAAACAGAAGAGCTGAAATGTTCCAATTGTCACATTCATCTTCATGAAGGAAGTCTACTTCCAAAACTCTGCTTGAAATACTTAGAGTAGGATCCCTGTAAGCAACATATCTGCCCTATCAAACACAGCAGCGTGAGGTGGTGACAGAATGCTTCTCTCCCTTGTACATTGGGAGGTGGCCAACTACCATTCCCATTTTGCAGAAGAGATATCAAAAGCTGCCACTCCATCCCAGTCACCTGAGATCAGGCCAATACAAGTCTTGATGGGAAACTGGGGTCAATCAGATGCAGAATCAGGAAAAATGGTCACCCTCTTGTGCTTCTTGCCCTTCAACTGCAGCTTCCCTTTCCCTCCCAGTGTAAGAGGGAAGGTGAGAAGGTGAAAGCAAAGGGTCGATATTAACAAAAGGCTGCAAAATGTCATGGGTTTCCAGAGAAAACTTCCCCTGAATCATGTAACAGACAGGACATATTCTCAAAAGGATAAACATATTTTAAGGCATGATAATGTAATCTTGATAAAAGTAGGTTAAATATACTTTCCTATTCAGAGTAGACTATATTTGACTAAGTGAAATCATTTTAGTAACTCATTTTCTAGCCTCAGGACTTGGGGATTTTTCTCTCAGTGTGATCATGAATTTACAGGAGAACAGGTTTAAGACCAGAAGAAAATACATTGCCAAAATGAAAACAGGGTAGAACAAAGAGACTCTGGCAGACTGCTGTGCAAAAAACTAACTAAAAGATAATTACAAAAAAAATCTTGGCTAGAAACATTATTTTTCATAGAGAGTACATGAAACATATGCTAATAAGCCAAGTTATTTGCCTGTGCAGTACTTCAAAGATGGTCTGTGTAAAATATTTTCAACCCAGTGCATGGGAAATTTGGTATGCTACTCCCTATTATTAATTCCCTGCTTAAGGGACTGGGTATTTACCCACTGAATGAAAGTACTGAACTAATGGGCTGGATCCTCCACTCAATTATGCCAGTCCAGCCCACTCAGAGGGAAACTAAGCTGGTATGAGAAAAAGAAGAATTTGACTCAATTATTTTTAACTGGACCATTCATGAACAAGCCACTTTCATGCTAATAACACCTTTCATTAGAATTTCAATATGGGTATTTATTGTGCAAATAGGACTTCACCATCCCAGGGAGCTCCACTGAAAGGAATAGATCCAAGGTGGCCAAGTCAGCTACTGCTCCACATAGCACAGTGGAATCTCAACAGAAATGTGTTGGAATGGACAGAGATGCTGTTCCAGGCTCACTGATACCAGAGGAGATCTGCACTGAGCAAAAAAGGGGGAAACCTGTGTAATCCCAGCCTTCTGGCTGGAATCAGAATCACAGAACTAATGTGGTAAAAGGCATCTACAGAGAGGTGAAGTCAAACTGTAAAGCAGAAACAAAAAAAGGGAGAAGTTGGTGAGTACAGCAGAAAGTCAACTACGTTCCTTATCAATAGAGACCTCACTCAGAATTCCAGAAGATTTGCTGCTCGTCTAAAGCAGCCAGGAATGGTCCATAAAGCTGTAAGGAATGGGTGCAGTGTGTGATGGACACTTCTCAGACCTAAGGTCAGTACAAGAAAACACAGGTGAACTGTTTGCTTCTTCGCATTTCTGACTCAAAGGGAACAAGCCACTAATCCATCTCCAGGATTACACTGTATGAACACACACTGATGTCTCCCCAGAAGAGTTTTTGAACAGCAAGATGCTATTTCCAAGGCCAGCACTTAAAACAAACCGGTATGAGCAGCTCTTTCAGCTGCCATTCCCCAATTACAGTGCAGGGGCTATGCACACTTTACCAAGATTCAGCATTTCAAAAATATTCCATTTTCAGAAGTCTTCAATTTTTCAAATTTCACATTTCAATGTCCCACTCAACATCCTTTTCTTCTTTGCCCACGTATACCATAAAGTATAATAAAATGCACTAGGACTGTTTTGATTGAGGAGCTGGAAGGCTCTCTCCTGTTTTTGTTTTTTTAGATCCTCTGCTCTGTGACATGTTAGTTTAACACAGTAAAATCTGAAGGACACATCTGCCATGCTAAATTTTTTGTACATCTAGAAAATTACAGACTATTGAAAGGAAAAGCAGAAATATTCTTAGGGAAAAAAAACCTCCAAAATTTAAATCTTGCCAGTCATACAATCAAAATGGTTTCACTTGGAAGGGACCTTAAAGATCAACTATTTCCAATGCCCCAGCCATGGGCAGAGACACCATTCACTAGATCAGGTTGCTAAGGGCCCCATACAACTTGGTCTTGAACACTTCCAGGGACGGGGCATTCCCAATTTCACTGGGAAAATGACTCCCTTTAAAACATTTCCCAACAATGTAATGCAAAAATGAAACAATAGTCTTAAATTTCTGCCCACTGCTTTGAATGTAAGAGTGTGTGTGTGGACACAGGTACAGAGAGGGACACATATAATGTGACAACTGAACAGGTACCCCAGTGTTCACCACATACAGAGTTTAGGTATCCAAAGTCTATCAGTAATAAAAAGTCAAGTAACACACACACACATACACACTTGGTTGGATTCCAGCCTGAAAGTTCTAATCCTCTTCCCTCTGATTGCACAATCTCCACTGCCAAGCCTCGGTGTTATCAAAGGCTGGGCATGGAGCAACTTCATGGCCTGACACACATAAACCTCCTTTCACATGACTTCACAGGTAAATTCTGCAGCTCAGAGCACATGAAACCAAGCACATTATAGAGCTGGCACTCACCCTTCTTCCTCCAAATAAATAAATATGCACTTTGAGCCAGGAGAAGGAAGACACTGCTGAGATTTAACACGTCTCAATAACAGAATCAGGGCTAACACGTGCAGTTGTGCTGCTTTGATGAAGACACTCACACTTCCTTCTGTGCTCCTTAAGCAGCTTCATAAGAAAGATTAAATTCTAGGATTTCAAGCTTGAGCAGAGAGAAGTGGATCAAAGCACCTTTCAAAAGAAATGCGATTTGTAGATCCTTCTTAATTTTATCTAATGTGGGTAAAATGTTGAATCCCAAAGGCTGGAGGACCACATTTACTACAGGAAATACAGGCCTTATTTTTGGAAAAATCTGGGAGGAAAACAACTTTATGAGAGTTGCACAGGGAGGGAAAGGCTTCTGTTTCAGAAATTGAAAATTATTTCTGTTTTTCCCTTTGCAATGATTTGCTGTTGTAATCTAAGCACTTCAAAATCGGAAACAGGAACAATTTCATTAAGGTAATTAAGAAGATAAAAATAGAAGATATAGCACACAGGAAGAGTGATTTGGGAACAAAGTTAAAAGCCACACATGGCCAGCAGTGGGGTCATCAAAGGAAAGGTTTCACAGATGCTGAATTGAGGCAGTACTGGTAAAAAAAACAAAAAGGAAAGAAATCAGGGGCAGAGGGAGAGGCAAAGGATGGAAGATCTTACATAAGAACTAAAGCTGAAAGAGAGAGAGTTAAAGGAAAGGCTGTAACTTATTTAAATTAAAAAAAAAAAAGGAAAAAATATTGAGGAACACACGGAGGAGAAACCTGCCGAACGAAAACAGAAGCTGGGCCAAAAGGATGCAACTGCCTGACAGGCACAGATAACACTTGCACATGTGAGTGGGTGAGAACAGACATGGAGAAAGGGGCCTGGGATGGTACAGAGACTGAGAGTGTTGAACTGCAATCCCAACTGACCCTGGTACACACTCCTCCTGCGAGCAAATGCAATGAGCTCCCAGGTCAAAGTGATAAAGTTCTTCCTTGGATACACCTGAAACAAGATCCTTCTCTCATTTTTACGTCCTCAAAGGCTGAGCTATAATGTCACCTTGGGTATATCTGCACTGTAAATACCAAGGAATGGCTCCCAAACCTAAACACTGGGTTATCAAAATTGGCTGCGTCAGATACCCAGAGCAGGACCTTGGTGCACAAGGACTGGAGGAGAAGGAAAGCAGAGCTGATACAGGGATGGCAAGTGCAGTGGAAACCCAGTGTTTCTGTTATGCAAACACAGAAAACACACACACAAACGTGACTCACAAGACAGTGGAGGAGGA